AACATACTTTTGACCAGAGTCTGGGTACATCGAGAAGACTTACCACCTAAGATTATTTGTTTTAAATTTTAGAGTCCATAAACCCCCAGAACGAAGTTGTATATATCATATATTTCATGCTTGTAAATGGTTTTCATTTGTAAATGGTTTTGCACATAAACGTATATACACACTCTACTTCTTTAATAATAGGCATGTTTTTAAGTGCCTTTTTATCTTCTATTATGAAAACATTCAAACATAAAAAGGTAGAAGTCTATAATGAGCTCTCATATTCTCAGCATTTTATCGCCAACCCTACCCCTCTCCCACTGCACACGCACTGGATTATTTACAAACCAATCCTGGACATTATATCATTTAAGCATGTTTCTTTAAAAAGGCATTTGGAAAAGGAAAGAGAACACATTACAAAGTCATGAATGTATATACTGCAATAGGAAGATGATAATCCTACTTTGCAGATTTCTTTTCCAACCATTTTACTGTATGAACCTTTTTGCCTAAAGTAAGTTTCTCACTATTTCCTGAACATGCTAATGACTTTTTCTGTGGGACATTTTGCCACGTTTTTTACTCATCAGGAGACTGCTGTCTGCCCATCTAAATGGTGTCCTTTCAAGGTTTGACTCTTCCTGCTTTCTCCATGAAGCTTTTCCTGACTTACGAAAATGACTTCTTTTGTCTACATAGCTCACTTCCACATTCCACAATGAGTTGCTATTTACTTTTTAAAGTACATGTTCTGTTTTAACTTGATTATAACTGCTATGTGCCTCAGTCTCATGTATAAAATACAGGTAATAACATCTACCCCAGATACATGAGGATAACATAAAACAAGTACTCAGTGAATATCAGTAATTATTATTGTTAGCCATAAACTCCTGCAGGGAAGGAATTATACTATGTATGATTTTTGTTTCTGTTTTTTTGTTTTTGTTTTGACACACAGTCTCACTCTGTCGCCCAGACTGGAGTGCCGTGGCATAATCTCGGCTCACTGCAACCTCTGCCTCGCGGGTTCTTGCAATTTTCCTGCCTCAGCCTCCCGAGTAGCTAGGAGTACAGGAACACACAGCCACACCAGGCTGATTTTTTTTGTATTTTAGTAGAGGTGAGTTTCACCATGTTGCCCAGGCTGGTCTTGAACTTCTGATCTCAAGCAATCCGCCTTCCTCGGCCTCCCAAAGTGCCGGGATTACAGGCGTGAGCCACCGCACCCCGCCCTATGTGCCGTTTTTTAAATCCCCAGTGCCTCATTTCCCAAAGTGGATACTAAATACACATTTATATTGGCTGGGAGGAAATCTTCTTTATTTTCTATGAGGTCATTATCTAATATTATTTATTAATATATTCATATACATGTTCAAAACATGACCTTTGAAAGATAAGCATTGAGATACTGTGCTTTTTATGTAGAATTGATCATTAGCTAATTAGTTGATATATGTTATAAAATGTATATCACTGGCTTTCACAGGTTTAAGTTTAAAACCAAAGCTATATTAAGTTTTATCTTTGTTATATCCATTTTAAAATGCATAGAAAAACTAGTATTAAACTGGTAATTATAAATCGTTTTTGTCTTTTTCAGATCATAAAAGCACTTAGATAATTTGAGAAATCCAGAAAAGTTGAGAACTATGTTAAAAACTATTCAGAGATGGCCAGACACTGTGGCTTATGCCTGTAATCCCAGCACTTTGGGAGGCTGAGGTGGGCAGATCACTTGAGAATCAGATGTTCGAGACCAGCCTGGCCAATGCAGCAAAACCCCATCTCTACTAAAAAAAAAGATACAAAAATTAGCCAAGTGTGGTGGCACATAAATTTAATTCCAGCTACTGGGGAGACTGAGGCAGGAGACTTGCTTGAACCCAGGAGGCAGAAGTTGCAATAAGCCAAGATCACACAACTGCACTCCAGCTTGGGCAACAGAGCAAGATTCTGTCCCCCATCCCCCCAAAAAAACTATCCAGAGATAATCACAGCATTTTCCTGCCTTCTTTGCATAAAGGTTTGCATACCTTAAGATGTGCTGTCTTTGAAATCTTTGATCCCCTTTTGCTTACCGCTTAGCATTGTGCATAAGCACTTTTTGTCATTGAGAATATTGGTAAATAAAGTGTGTGTGTGTGTGTGTGTGTGTGTGTGTGTGTGTGTTGTGTGTTGTGTGTGTGTGTGTGTGTGTGACAGTCTCGCTCTGTCGCCAGGTGCCAGGCTGGAATGCAGTGACGCGATCTCGGCTCACTGCAACCTCCGCCTCCCGGGCTCAAGCAATTCTCCTGCCTCAGCCTCCCGAGTAGCTGGGACTACAGGCATGTACCACCACACCCAGCTAATTTTTGTATTTTATTAGTAGAGACGGAGCTTCACCATGTTGGCCAGGATGATCTCGATCTCTTGACCTCGTGATCCGCCCACCTTGGCCTCCCAAAGTGCTGAGATTACAGACGTGAGCCTTGGCACCTGGCCACTGTAATAATGTATATATTTTTTAATTTTTTCAGTAGTTTGCACATATTTATCATAAAAATACATAAAAGATTATAAAGGACATTGGAACAGTTTTTAGTTGTCTGTTTAAGATTTTCCTGGCTCTTCTTGCTTTATTTTTTCCACATGAACTTCAGAATTCATTGTCTGTTTAAAACATAATTTATTAGGGCCAGGAGCAGTGGCTCATGCCTGTAATCCCAGCAGTTTGGGAAGCCGAGATGGGCAGATCACGAGGTCAGGAGTTTGAGACCAGCCTGTCCAACAAGGTGAAACCCCGCCTCTACTAAAAATACAAAACTTAGCTGGGCGTGGTGGTGCATGCCTGTAATCCCAGCTACTCAGGAGACTGAGGTAGGAAAATCACTTGAACCCAGGAGGTGGAAGTTGCAGCAAGCCAAGATCGCACCACTGCACTCCAGCCTGGGCAACAGAGCAAGACTCTGCCAAAAAAAAAAAAAGGATAACTTGTTGGATTGGGTTCACTTTAAATTTATAAGTTGCCTTCACAATGTTGCCTTCCAGTATAAAAACCTGGTTTACCAGTTTTCTTAATCCATGTTATGTTGCTATTTAAAAAAACTGAAATTGGGTGACCAATTATGAAAAAAGGTTAATTTAGCTCACAGTTGTGCAGGCTAAGAGGTTGGGGCTTGGCCCTCCTTCTGGGGAGGGCTTTTATGATTCATCACAACATGGCTAAGAAGGTCAAAGGGGAAACAGACCTGGTAAAAAGGAGGGAGTAGCATCATAGCTTTATAACAACTACTCTCTCCGGAAAGAATTTATTTCCTGGAAAACAAATCCAGTCTAGTGAGAGTGAGATCTCACTAACTGGAGAACAGCACCGTGACATTCATGGGAGATCTACGCCTCTCAACCCAAACACCTCCCACTAGGCCCCAAGTCCCAACACTACCATACTGGGGATCAAATCTCTACCTCAGCTTTGGTGGACACAAAAACAAAAAACCGTATCTAAACCACAGCAACAGTTTCTTCTACTTTTATGTTCTATTTTAAGATTTTGTCAGTTTTTTGTTTTTTTTTTTTAATGCCGATGTTGCACATTTCTTGTGAAGCTTATTTCTAGATATTTTAGCTGTTTGTTCTGGATGCTGTCTTTTTCCATTGTCTTTCTTCTGAATAATGTGATTATGCAGGCTATTGAGGTATATATTTTAATTATGTACCCAGCCACCTTACTCAGTTTCCTTTACATCTATAATTGTTTTTCACCAAATTCTTTAGGGCTTTTCAAGTAAGCACTCAGCCACAAGTACCAATTTTACGTAACTAAGTTTTGTTATAACTCTTACGCTTTCTTTTTGTTTGTTTGTTTTTTAGGAAGCGCCTCTAAGTTTAGTAAACAAGCATATTGCTGGCAGTTGTGTGAGACTGACATATTTTATCTACCTGTATATGATGAAAATGTTATTCATTGTTATATATACAGTCATATTCTTGCACTTTCTTAATTTTATTTTTTCAACTGTCTCTTTTTGGACTTCTGTGAAATAAGCACATGGTTGGTGCTGAAGCGTCAGAATATGATAACCTGATAACACAATGTCCATCCTTCAGAGATGAGTATTATAATAAAGGTATCAGTTTGCAATGAAAATAGAAAAGAGAGTTCTACATAAAATAAGAGAAAGGAAATAACTGGATTCAAGGACACTTTCTTTAAAAGGTGATGCTTCAGCTGAATTTTGAATAGAATAAGTCCACCTCCATTTACTTTAACTGGAAATCTATGATTTTGTTTGACTATGGAAACTTATGAAACTTAACGTTTCCTGGGATTCTTGTGTTAAATTTTAACTTTTGGAATAAGAGTGGAACTATTAAATACAAGCTAAGTATCTTTTATCCAAAATGCTTGGAACTAGAGTATTTTGGATTTCAGATTTTTTTGTGGATTTTGGAATAATTGGATTATACTTACTCATTGAACATCTCTAACCAGAAATCCAAAATACTCCAATGAACATTTCGTTTGAACATTATTTTGGCACTCAAAAATTCTGATTTTGGAACATTTTGCATTTTGAATTAGGGTTGTTCAGTCTGTAATGAATAACTTTTTAAAAACCAACAGTGAAAGAGCAGGTGCTTGTTTCTTTCTCCAAAATCTATTAGCCTTATATTTGTCAACTCGTGGAATATGATAGCTTAAATTTAAGGCATGTTTATCCTAGAAACAATTCAGAATTAAATGAAACTTCAGTCAGCATTTAAGTCTGTCTCTCCATCCTCCACCCAGCCAAAGACTTAGAAAAGCTAGTAACTTCACTGAGGTCATAAAACCAGCTGTTGTCAGAGCTTGAAGACTGGAGAAGACCTCAAGATTCTGGTTTTAAGTGTCGTCAGACGTGTCATTCCGCTTGCCTTCTTGAAGAAATAAAAGCATCATTCTAAATGTGGAACTGTCAGGCATTTTTTACCAATGCAATTTTTCTTGTGATATTAATTTTTCTTTCCTTTTTTCTTTTTAGTCTGCCATTTTCAATTTTCAGAGTCTATTGACTGTAATCTTGCTGCTTATTTGTACCTGTGCTTATATTCGATCCTTGGCACCCAGCCTCCTGGACAGAAATAAAACTGGGTATGTTACTAATGATGCCTAATCACCCAAATTAATTCTTACAGATGTTGAATGTAAATTAACACATAAATTATTAGATAATTTAATTCCTATGTGTAATTTGGTTTTGTAATAACTTTTTTCATTTTCTCCTTTTTAAAAATTCAAAAATTTTATATTGACTATATCTTATTAAATTAAAAGTTAAATTTCAGAAGTAACCTGAAATGTGTTGAGTAAAACATAGCATGAGGGATTTAACCTACTGAAGGTGATATAGATGTTAGTTGTCCATCATTTTTTATGATAATACACCATTTTCTTTGTAGACATTGTCTTCTCTTCATTCCACCTTTTTCGCTAAAGTCTCATTGCATTTATTCTTCAGTATTTCACCCATTTGTTGAAATTATTTGTTGCTTAGCTGTGCATGAAGTCTTTTTATCCAAGTAGACAGTTTCATTTCATCTTTCCCTTCTGTACCTGTTAACTTAGAATTAAAGCATATATATGGTAGACTTTAGTAAACACTTACTCCTATTGATGAGTGATTGGAATTCTAATACAATGCATAATGTCTGTCTACTAAGAAATGTTAAGTGTTTATCTCATTAAAGAATAATTACATAGTAGCAGAATACTTTCCTTGTACTATTACGTAAATTCTTCAAAGTAATTAGGTTGCATGTGGAAATGTCTGCTCCTCATTCCTTTGGGAGCAGGAATATATTCATAACATGCTACATTAACAGAGGAGTTCTCAGGGCTGCCAACCTTCAAGTAAAGGTTGAGTGGTAGTATATTTCTCCTACATAAAAGACCAGAAAGAGCATGCCTAGTTTTACATTTTAAAGTATGTACTAATACAGTCAACTTTTTGAAAGCTTTTTTTAAAACCTTTACTTCTGCTTATATACATGTTAAGCACCATTTTATTTTGATTTATAACTAAGAATTATTTTGTGTAGAAGAAATTTGTGTAGGCCTCTTATCGTTCTGCTAAAATTACATGTTTTTATGAGACTCATAATAAACTTTTATTATAGTGAGAATATATACCATGGTTAGGTAGAGATACCTAGACAGATAGGATAAATTTCTCAATTACTTCACTGTTTAAAATAACTTCCTTTTTTTTTTTTGCTATTACATCAAATAATGTGGAACTAAGCAGCAGAAAAAAAAGATTGCTACATTGTCTTTATCCTGGTTTCATAGACCTGATAGCATTATCAACAAATACATTTATTGGTATTTAGCCACAATAAATAAGCAACATAATTACATTTTTTAAATCAACTAACAGGGTGTGTGTGTGTGTTATAATCCTGTTGTACCAGTTTCTTAATGATATTTACTTCTAGAATATTAGACCCTAAAAGACCTTCAGTTTGTGATCTTATGGTTTCAGACTGTGTTCTGTGGTCCTATGTTTCCTATGTAGGCTCTTCAGGTGCCCTGTTCGAGGTCCCTCATCTGACTCCTTCAACTAGAGTAGCTTCACGTTATTAATGTATGTTTTAATCAGTGGGTTCTAGAATCAAGGAACATGGCTTTGCAAATGCCTAGCCTATTCCATTGTTTGATGAAGAAATGTCAGCCAATGTTAAGTGATACCTAGAGTTTGATACCTAGAGTTATCATCACATGTACCTTTAGGCTATATATGAACATAGTATGTGTAAGTCACCATTCTAAGGGCTTTCTGTGTAATCACTCATTTCATCCTCATAATAACCCTTTGAAGGTGGGTACTGTTGTTAAAGAGACAATACCTTGCTCACAGTTATGCAACCAGTAAGTAGGATTGAATTTAAGCATAATCTGGCCTTTAGTTTATTTTCAGGCTAAAAAATTTTCCTACAGAAATAAAATTTTTTAGCAGACTGTTCATACTTTGAAATAAACTCATGTTTTTGCTCATTTCATTTAATCTAAACTATATATATTCTAGTTCATAGCAGTTTCTATACATTGATGGTTGATATGCTAAGAGACCTTTTGCTTTGAAATCAGGGAGTTATACTTCAGAGGAAGAACTTAAATAGAACTTAACTGAACCAGAATTTTTTGTCAGTCTTATCCATTCAGATATAATGATTCTCTAGCCCGCCATCTCTTTTGGCCAGAAAAAAGTATACTATACGTTTTTCTGGAATTTAAGTACTGTGATTTTGTTGAGCTAATAATTCGAATTTATATATCATAATATTAATTTATCTTCATTTGCAACCATATGTAACACTATTTATAATTCTGTTATTTTGTCAGACCAACAAAGTAATGTCCTTAGTGTTACTTTTTCAGATGTCTTTATTCAGTGATAACTCAACTGGTCTTTTTTTCAAAAGTGATTTGTTGTACATGCCAAATAAGTGATAATTCCATATAATATGTAATTCATAATATATTGATTCATACAAATATAATATCTTCATTCTAATACTTATTTCCAGAATATGTGCTTTAAATGTCATGTTTAGTGAATTTGCATAAAGTGTCCCCTAAACTAGGAAATTTTTTACTTATATTGAAAATATAGACACATTTTTAATGCCTTCTTAGTAAATGGCACAAATAAGTAAATACCATCATTGGAATTCATGATTATAGATTATTTAACTTTAGAACTACATTCTGTAAGAAATTAAATTTTTGTATAAATATTTTTGGTGTCACATTCAACCAAAAAAAGTTCATTTAACATTTTATCAAAATTGATGCTTAAATTGGTGTATACATTTTCTGCTTTTGAAAGTATTTTAAGTTAACTGAATAGTAAGCTCTCATTCAAATTTTTGCCACTCATTAATTTGCCCTGGGTTTGACCTATGACACTATTTATATTCCAGTTCATAGCAGTTTCTGTACATTGATGGTTGATAGGCTATGGTGTCCTGCTTTCATACATAAGTGGTGGCTAAACATCAAGCAGATTTCAAATTTGAAGCCAAGTGTTAAAGGCTAATATATTAATATACAATTCTCTATATGATATCAAGAGAATGATTTACCCTTCTGAGTAATCAATGGCTACTTTTTTCTTTTTTTATTCTATGCAGATTGTTGGGTATATTTTGGAAGTGTGCCCGAATTGGTAAGTGTCTAATCTGCCTCCATTTCTTCAGTTGTAAATTGTTGACCAATTTACTTATGTTATAGTCTCACAAATCAAATGTTAGTTTTAAACAGGCAGGCTTCCCAAATTTATGCATTTTTGCAAAAGTTTGTAAGTTGTACCAAGCTCTTTTCCTTACACTTAAAACCAAATTTGGGCCAGGTGTGGTGGCTCACACTGTAATCCCAGCACTTTGGGAGGCCTTGCAAGCTGGGCAGATCACCTGGGGTCAGGAGTTCGAGACCAGCCTGGCCAACATGATGAAACCCTGTCTCTTTTAAAAATACAAAAATTAGCTGGACATGCACACCTGTAATTCCAGCTACTCAGGAGCCTAAGGCAGAAGAATCACTTGAACCCAGGAGCAGAGGTTGCAGTGAGCCAGATTGCACCACTGCAGTCCAGCCAGGTCAACAGGGTGAGACTATGTCTCAAAATTTAAAAAAAGAATAAAACTGGATTTGGTGGATACTTCATTAACATAGTAATAGAAAAGTCTCTCTAATTTAGATATCAAAGTCCCTAATTTAGATATCAAATATTGTGCATTCCAGGTATTGAGGGAAATAAATGTATGTGGTTTTATGCACACGTTGATGATAGTATAGAAGTACGGAGTATGCTGTTCTATATATTCTATACCATTTTGATAACTAGGATGTATTCCCATCTAATGAAAGTCTTTCTGAGCAGCCATCTAAGCATAATCACTTTATTACCTTATTTTAAGTTATGGAATGTTTAACTGTTTCGTCTGTTGAACTGGTGTGGTCATAGCCGAACTGTGTGACTCAGGTTAAAGTATTACACTTGATCTTACCTATAAGGCTAAAAAGCAATTAAAGTTTAGCTAGGTGTAGTTGTCATCCAGCTTTCAGTGATAAGATTAGTAGCATCGTACCTGTTTTTGTAGATAATAATATATTCCTATCCGGTTGTCCTGTGTATGTAACACTTAACACTGTGCCCAGCACATAGTAGACTCTGAAATGATTAAGTGAATGAATTAAAATGTATTTTATTGCTGTCATTCATCAGCATTCTTGAATAATAAATTATACCCTTTTTTAACTTTTTTAATTAAAAAAAAAAAAAACTCCAGGGCATTTGTACATATACCACTTGGACTGAAATTGAATGTTTCTTATCTGTCCTCTTTGGAATTACTTGCATGACCAAAGAAAAACTGTTTTCTTTTAGTACTCTTCTTATAACATTGAATTTATGCATAACTACTTTTTTCTTTCATAAAGCTGTTAGACTTTTATAATGAAAAATATTTTTTCTACGTTTGACATTTAGTGTGGTTAGCCAGTCTGACAACAGCCTAAATTCTCCAAACTAATCCCTTTAAATAGCATGAAGAATTGAAGAATATCTCCATTAGATAAACTGTGTTCCCTTTAGAGCATTGCGTTTTATTTTTGTTCAAAACTTCTCAGAGATATGGAAAATTTAGAAGATGTCCATAAAGGAAACAATGAAATTGGAAAATACAAACTGAGTATTTGTAATACAGGTATACCTCAGAGATTTTGCATGTTCCATCTCAAGAAATCATTTTCTTTGTTCGTAAGAAGCAGTTACTTATGGATTCTGATTTTATCATGAGATTATTGTAATTCAGTCGCATATTCAGGCTCCCCTTCTAATTAAAGTTCTCTTGCTCTTTTCAGCACATCTGCAGTTACTTCTTCCATTGAAGTATTCAGTAAACCATGCTGTAAACAGATGCTGTCATCCAGCCTTAATTGTTCCATTTCTAGAGCACAGGCAGAGCAGATTTAGCATAATTCTTAAAAGCTGTAGAATTTTCAGCAGGTGAATGAGCATTGACTTCAGCTTAAAGTCACCAGCTACGTTAGCCCCTAACATGAGCCAGCCTGTCCTTTGAAGTGCAGAGGCCAGGCACTGACTTCTCCTCTCTAACTGAGATGCCATTTTTTCCAATAGAAGGCTATTTTGTCAACGTGGAAATCTGTTGTTTAGTGTAGCTACTTTCATCAATTATCTTAGCTAGTTTCTGCATAACATGCTGTAGTAGTTTCTTACCATTTATCAAATAACTTTGCCATCTTATATGCGCACAGTTTATGGTGCCCCACAGCAATTACAATGGTACCAAGAAAGATCAATGATCACAGATCACCATGAAAGATACAGTAATAATGAAAAGTTTTGAAATATTGGGAGAATTACCAAAATATGACACAGAGACACAAATTGAGCACGTGCTGTTTAAAAAAAAAAAATGGCACCAGTAGACTTGCCCAGTGCAAGGTTGCCATAAACCTTCAGTTTTTTTTTAAAGGGGCAGTATCTGCAAAGTGCAATAAAATGAAATATGTCTGTACTTAGAGATTTTTTGAAAGAAAACCTGGGAATTGATGTAATATATCTGAAGATGGGTATATTATAAACTAGTCTTCAAATCTTTAAAGTACCGTCTAAGGTTCATATGTTGTTAGCTATTAAAATAATTTTGAGAGCAGGTTTTCTTCCCTTAAGCTTTTAAAGATAGGCAAGGCCCATTAATGATGGAAATTGTAAGCATAATACTAAATTATCCAGAAGTCCTTTCTAAATCTGTGATGATGAAATCATAAGATTCTTTGGCCTTTCCAGTTTCTTGTTATGGTAAATGAAAGTATAAGCATAAAGGGCTTCATAGAAAAGTACTTCTTTCAAGGCTGTCATTCTAATATATTGACTATTGAAACAGACTTTATCTTCCAGAGAAATAAGTATGATTTTAACGTATTCAATTATTCTTCCTCAGTGTTCACCCTTATGGTGATAGGTGTAAGAGTCTTTCAACAGGTAAATTCACAGATGACATAGCCTAGATAAGTAGTTACCAGTCCAGTACATTTGACAAAATAGACCATTTTGATAGTCACAGCTGGACTCAGGGACAGATAGTGGGTAGAGGTCAGGGATGTTGCTAAGCATCCTAGGATGCACAGGGAATCTATCACAACAGAATTATCAAGTTCAAAATGACCATAGTACTGGAGTTGAGAAGGGCTGGTCTAGATTTACAGAAATTTGTGGTACAGACTTATCCAGCACTCGATTATAAACAACTGCAAACCCTGAAATAACAGGAGAAATCTTAAGCACTTCAAAAAGAACCAAGAAGAGAGTGACAAAATCGCATCTTCAATGGCTAATACTGATAGTTAGTGGTAAATGTAAATACACACACCAAACTGCATGCTTCAGAGAAAAGTTACTCTGAAAAAGAATACAGCCAAGAAACAGTGGTAAGAATACTTCAAGTAAAGTACAAAGAGAGAAAATAATGGAAGAGCAGGTCTGGAGTTAAGAGGCATTGTTTTCATTTCAGTTTTATTAAGTTGCTAATGCATAAAGAAAATATTTAAGTATTTTAAATCCATCTTATGTCGTAAGAGAAGTGTATACAGTTCCATTTAGTAGCCAGCCCACACAGCGCTTTTGTTCAGTTATTACTTGAAAAGAGTACTGCTGAGTTTAAGGTATCTAGTTTGTATCTTTTAATGATTTCCTGTAGTATGATCTATTTTTATGTCTAATTATAAATAGTGTCTAATGTCTTTTTTTTTTTTTTTTGCTTTTTATTATTTTCATTTTCCTCTCGAGTATATGAATGCCATAGGTTGAATGGCTCATTTTAAATGTTCATTTATGCCAATTATGTGAAAGCATTAGCTTTTCATTTTGGCAAAGTGACTTAGAAAATGTGCTGATATGCTGCTTTCTCAAGCATATGCTTCTCTCTTATCTTGACGCAGAATATATCCACAAAGAAAGGATGCAATTTTAATGGGAAAAGACCTAGCCAAATCATCTTATCATGTTACACATCACATTACAGCGACTGTTTTACATTCACTTACGCAGACCTAAGACCAGACAAAAAGTAACATTTTTACCCAAGTTCAACCAAAGATGTTTAGCTCTACCACATGGCAGTCTCTTTTAAGAAAATTAAAAACAGGAAAATGAAATCCATATGTAAATTATAGCATTCTAAGTTGAAGGATGAGGAAGAAGGGAACTTCCTCAAAAATTAACTTTCACCATATGGAAAACTTAGGACAGTATTAATTTTTTCTTTTAAGTATTTAATGAGACTATATGAGACAATGAGGGTGTATAGCCCTAGTAAGAGTGACAGGATTGCTTACGAAGTCTTTCTGAAATTTATGTACAAATGAGGTTGTTTTTGTTTTGTTTGGTGACTTGGGCTTTTTCCTCTAGGAGAATTTGCATTGTTTAAAAATTGTGATCCAAGATATTTTTTTAATTTCTGTGTTTTCATTTGAGGTGATGGCATTGTAAAAATACTTTTACTTTCTAGATTTTTTTTTTTTAGCCAGAAGGCAGATAGAACAGATACTTTCAGAAAAACCCCGAAAGTTTATTTTTTTGTGTATGTATTTAATATTTTCTATGGAAATTATTAAGCAGACACAAATATGTAAATTCAGTAACATGGCAGTGTAAGGTCAGTGAGGAAGATATAAAAATGAAAATGACCTTAAGAATTTTAGTTAATCAAGACGGTCAGGAAGAACATTTTCTTGAGGTAGTTTGCTGAACTTGCTAAGTGGAATCAGGAGTTTCATTAAGAGTTGACTTTAAACATTATACTAAAGCACAAGTGAAGGTGGCATAAACCATCTCTACTAGAGGATGCCAGGCACGTACCCAAGATTATTTCTAGAAGTAGCTTCTTTTTCCTTTCTTACACTGCCCTCACAGCAGCATATAAATGTCAGGTGCTTTATGAATTAGTATAGCCTTGAAATTATTGAAGGAACAAGAAAGAATGAGTTTGAGTTTACTTACAATGACATGATCTCTGTCTATTTGTAAGACAATTCACAAGCCAACTTCAGATTTACTTTATGCAAAGGAAAGCATCCAAATGTAAGCATTCCTTAAATGTACGTGAAAAATTGAGTCATACAGAAGTGGTTGGTTTTAGTTCTACTTTTCTAACCCAGAGTAAGCATACTGTAAAAGATTTGATACAAAATCTATCTCAGAAATAGTTTTCCTAACATGTTTTTCATTAAGCATTTTAATTTGTTCATTTTTAAAGTGCAGCTTTATTGACCATCCTCTATTTTCATTTATGAATGCTCCCCCTTTCCTGTGCCTTTAAGTGTCATGAATTGCTACCAGTAAGGAAAAATACTCTGTTTCAAATTCCTTTTTAAGGGGTGAAATTTTATTCTTTTTATAGAAAGAAAATAAACAATATTTCTTTGGCCTCAGTTGATTGAGATTGTTTCTCTTGGATCTCTGTCCTACATTCCGCATTGTATTTTTTAGTGTCTGAGTTTACACAGTGACAAAGAAATGATGCTTTCGAGGTTTTCTAAAGATATGAAGATAATCTGGGAGATAAATTGATATATTAATAGCTTAGCCCACTCTGTATTGTACTTGTTTTTTAAGTTGCATCTAGATTTTGTCCCTGCCCCATCCCCAATGTATGGGCCTCCTAGGGAAGAATGTTATCTTGATTTTTATGTATCCCTTCCTTGTAGTAAGTAATAACCTTATCATAGCCAGGTTAGCCACTCAGTTAATCAAGATGAATATCTCCTTTTTTTCAACAGGTGAACGGAAGAGTCCTTATGTTGCAGTATGCTGTATAGTGATGGCCTTCAGCATCCTCTTCATACAGTAGCTGGGGAAAATGCTAGAATATAATTGCCATCAGATTTCATTGTGAACAAGGACTTATTGCAGAAAATAATGGAAAGGATGGTTAACTCTTTTATCTCCGAACATTGAATCAGATACATTTGTAGATGCTGTTCTCTATTTTTATGTTATTGGACCAATGTTCTATATAAATAATTAAGATGTAACCATTTAATACTCTGTAACAATCAACCTCAGTACTGTCACTACAATATTACATTCTGCAAATGTCATTCTGTTGTGTCAGATACCAAATTTTAGTGAGGTATCACTAAGGCACATAGTAGAAAACAAAATTGGTTAATTACTCATGTTCCTTTCACTGTGATTTGGAAATGATTTAATTTTATAGAATGAGACCCTTTTTTGGACTAGCTTTTTTATTAAAATGGCTCAATTTGTGTTGATAAGGATTGCTTTCATATAAATAGTGCTTACATTTCCTCTGAGCACACCATTTTGATCATTAACCAGAGTACCTGTACTCTTAGAAAACTCTAATTTATGACTATTTAAAATATTTAAAACAAGCATATGGAGTTCTTAAGGAGGAAAATAAATGAGCTGTAACTTAAAAGTAGTATTGGGAAAATGTTGGTATTTAACATTAGTGGATTTAGACTTAGCCAAATGGCATAGCAGTCTCTGAAACCTTTTGTCAAGAATAGGTAAGCACCTCTTGTGCATGAGTTTTTACCAGAGAGCTGCCTGTCTGAAAAACATAACATTCTTAGAATGAAAAGGACAATTATAAAGTAATTATACTATATGTGTTTTTCATTTTAGTGTCTCATCTTCAAAAATGAAATATTTATTTTAATTGCCCTAAACAAACTATATTTTTGTTTTGTTTTTTGAGGCACTTTAAATCCAGTTTGTGTTTTGTCATGTTGAATTCGAATCTCTTATTACTTTGGAGGTGATAAATAGCTTTCAAATCTACTAAACTGTATACTGTGGCATAAGTATCTTTGAGCCTTGATAGTGAAAGAAAACCAACAATTTTTAGTCTAGGCAAGAGAAACATTAGGAATGTGACTTCTAAATTTTACAATAGAGCAGTTATTTTAAGTTGATGGTTAATATTTCTTAATATTCAACTGAAATTCAGTTAAAATGTCGAAGCTAAGAGGAACTTAAATCTTAGCTAAAAATTACCTGTTGTAGGATTACATTGTTCGCAGCCATTAATTCACCATAAAGGTAAAATGAAGAAACTCTCCCATTTAAAAAAAAATTATTTCTAAATTAATCTGCAAGTATTTATGCAGAAACAAAGTATCGAACTGAAAGCCACCTATTTTATTTTAGACTAATTTAAACCACCTGGAATGGATTCTAGGAAACAAGTAAAGCTTGTGTGCTGCCTGTGGTGGTTTTTTGTTTGGGGGTGTTTTTTGGTTTTGGTTTGATTTTTCTGTATTTTGTTTTCTGGGGATTTTTTATTTGTTTCTGCTTTGTTTTTTTTCTTTCTCTTCTCTGTTTGGATACGCTGACAATTGCAATAGAGCTGTTATAGGTTATAAGTGTATTTATATTTTTGGCATGCCTGTGGCAGTTAAAAGTGGTATATTTGGCTTCAGACAGGTAATCAGGTTATAATAATTGTTCTGCCTCTAAACTGCCTCTTGGGCTTTACATTAGGTCAAGGATTTTCAGGGTTTCTCTAAAATAGGACTCTTGTCAGCGTATCCATGCTGAGTAAGTCACCTTCCTGGCCCTGATTTCCAGGTGGCCATCTGTTGTCCAGCTCTGCTGCCAACTGGACTTTCTGAAAGCCATGTCGACTAATTTTTTATACGCTAAGACAAATCTAATATGAAAAGAGGAAGAATATTCTAGATATTCTAAGACATTTCTTCATTTGGCATCTCAGAGGAGGTAGGTGGAAAGTAGAAGAAGAGATAATTTTTGGGGAAAATTTGTGGAAACATAAAACTTTTTGCTGTGTATAAATGCTAAGCAGTGGGAGGCAGCGTATTTCTAACAACAACCAAACTGACCTTTTGAAACACAAGCTCTTGGGGAAGCCGGGTAGAGACACAGTATGAATAAAAGCAATTAACATTTTCTTTAATGTATTTTTTTCAAAGAGGACCACTAAATCCTGTTCTCTAACCCAAAGGGCAGTGTAGGTGGTTTTAAGCCCACAGAACATTGAAATATGTCTCTTGTAGTCTTGGTGGGGTGGTGGGATGTAGAAGATTGAAGATCAACTTAATCATCAGATAGAATATCTCTTTTTTTTTTTAACTTTTAGGTTCAGGAGTCATGTGCAGGTTTGTTATATAGGTAAACTCATGTCAAGGTGTATTGTTGTACAGATTATTTTGTCACCCAGGTACTAAGCCTAGTACCCAGTAGTTATTTTGCCTGCTCCTCCCCCTCTTCCCACCCATAACCCTCAAGTAGGCCCTAGCGTCTGTTGTTCCCTTCCTTGTGTCCCTGAGTTCTCATCACTTACCTCCCACTTCTAAGTGAGAACATGTAGTATTTGTTTTTCTGTTCTGCATTGGTTTGCTGAGAGTAATGGCCTCCAGCTCAGATGGAATATCTCTATCACATAGGCCTGTTGTTACAGGGCAGGATCAGATGATGTACACTGAAGTTTTCAGCTTACTAAGTTCAGTTGCTCTCCCTAGCCTCTTTTCTGGCTTCAGATTCTTTTGATTCCATCTATCCTGGCATTTTTTGTGTGCTGATATTTAGTTCCGGATTGGCTTCAGCTATGCTAATAGAAAGGGCATTGTCTTTTCAAGCAATCTTAAAAGGTGTTCAATCAAAAGGCCAGAGTCTGAATCCCTTCTGTAGCCTAAATAATTTGAGGATCAAGTCCAGTGTCTTGTTAATGCCCTGTTCTTCTGTGCCAGGCACTATCTTCAATGCTCTTACATGTTCGAACTCAAAATAGCTCATTTATACTGGGGATTATAGTAACATACAACTTGCAGTAGATTCCTTCCTCTTAGTAATAAGATGATTGGCCTAATTAGGACAAAATAGGGATTTGAGTGAATTAACTTTTCCAAGTTTACAGAGTAAAAATGAGCAGATCTCTGCCTGATTTTGTGAAAAAGATTTAGCACTGGTAAATAGAATACTTTATTTCTACACCATTCTTTCAGTATATCATCATTGAAGACAGGAAGATAGGCACACAGATCTTCCCCATAGTAATTCATAATGTACTAAGTGAAAGAGATGAAGTATGTATTACAAAGTACAGTGCAATGGCATTATTCAGATAATCCCAGGATTCCAGAAGCAAACAAAGGTGACAGTTCATTCAGGGTATGAACTTCCAGAGAAGCATTGCCTAAGCTGCACTTGAGAGCGTTGTGCAAAAGCACAGTAGTCTGTTAACTAGAAATAACCTAGCTTGTGCCACTTAGGGAGTACTAAGCCATAAGCCTAGAAAAGTGGACAGAGGTTAGATCCTAAACTGTCTTGTGTTTTTCTCATTCCTGTTGATTACCTACCTCAGAAATGAAGTTGAATATGTTTTTCCTCCTTCCTAACACAAAACAAAGACAAAAATTTAAATTCTTTGGTAGATAGGCAAACAAGGTTGAATATATTCATGCCTACCTTATTTTGGACTAGGAATACGGTAGCATACTCTCCAAAGACTTGCCTGAATAGTACGTAAGGTGGAGGCAACTGACTAGTTAGGTCAGTGTTTTTAGAAACTCTTAATAGCTTGTACACCACTGATGCCAAAAGCAGCCCTGATTGTTATAGCACACACCTGCACAAGAAGCAGAGATGGTTACATTTTACATTTCCTGGGTACACAAAATATATTTCTGAAAAGCAAGAACTTAACGCTTTGTGCAAAGCCTCTGAGAAGTTTTGGGTCATAGAAAGCTTATAACAAGAATGGAAGATTCTTAAGGACTATTCTTCACTTTCTTTAGTATCTAGTAACAGTAGATTTTCAAAATATGTAGCTGATTAATACTAGTGTTGTGAATGCTGCACAACTGTGTGATTATTACTAAGCAAGTCACTACTAGCTTCTGAAAAGTAGTTTCAAAGTTATTTATACACTTCCTTCCATGACTTTTACTTTGCCCTAAACTAATCCCTACAATCTGAAATGCTATTTCAATATCAGAAAAAAGGGGGGAGGTGGAAATGTATTTCCTGTGATTTTAAGAGCACAGAGAATCATTCTCATACCTGGCTAGTTCATATGTCTAGTGTGTAATAAAAGTCAAGATGAACTCTTAAGAGTCTCCCACTTTTGTCTTATTGTCAGATGCATGAAGGCAGTTCTTAGAGGTTAAATATGTAAATTTCCACCTTTTTAATAGGATGGGAGTAGAGAAATGTTCTATTTTTTTCCCCCGACCATTTTAATTCATGGAAGGCCAGGATTCGTTTGGGGTTATTATATTCATTGTTGTTTTGTATCGTAATAGCTATTTGGTCATTATATTGCTATTTCATTGAGTATGCTTTTAAGAACCTAAATGACTCCAGTAGTTTGCTTTTGGGTGTGTAGTCTTAAATTCTCTCAGAGATGGTCAGATTGAATTCTGAATGAAAGTGACAGTTACCAATTACTGACAGTAATTTTCAACCTTGTCCTCAAGATGCCCGAACATTCTGGCAAGTAGCTATCATTTTCTATCTAAAATCTGCTTATGAGCAGTGTCCATCAGAGATTATTCAGCCAATGTATGCTATTATTAGTATTTATTGAGAAATAAGAAAAGGCTTGTGCCTCGCTTTGAGGAATCTGGTCATCCTGCTGTTAGGTTCCCAAAACTGAATAAACACAGACAAACCTGGTTAGATTTAGATCTCAAAAAATACTTCAGATATAAATTGAAAGGCAGAATCTTAGTTGTTTCCTTCAGTATATATTGTAAACATTCCCTGCTGCTCCATAATACCACCAGTTGATGTAAGACATTATAGGGAAATCACTAAATTTCCAATTTCTATTAATAACAAAAGAATTCAAAATGGCTTAGATTAAGACCACTGAATTTAATATAACCAGGAAAGCAAAATCTGTTTTTAACTTTTTACATTAATGTCCTTAACCATAACAGAGTCATCTGGGGGTGGAAGGGAGGGCAAGGGCAAGCAAGAAAACATGAATATTAGAAACAAGGGTCAGTTACTTCACACACACTTTGTGGAGGAGGAGAACACTCACTCAGAAACTATGTATTGCCCAGACACTACTGTTTGAGCTTTGACGAGGGAAGTAGCCTAAAAGCAAATGTTTAGGGATACAGGGTTTGTTCCCAAATTGCTAAAACCTATAATTTATCAGCCACCTCAACTTTTTTGATAACGATAACTAGGCTAAATACTGGAAAAAATTAAAAAGAAGGAAATAGACATGAGAGATTTCAAGAAGGCCAGCATCAAAGAATCTTTGCAGTAACCAAGTGTTAAAGAAAAGTGATCTGGAGGCTCAGGATAACACCAAAATATTTGACCTTGGAAATTAAGTTACAGAGAATAGAATGCAACATTCTTTCGAGTTCCGAAAGAGTAGATCACATTTCTTTTTTGGATTTATTTAATAGAAATAGTTTGCTTGTTTTTTAAAAAGTGTTTCTGAAGATGACAAGCATCTTCAAATAAGTTTTATTGAATCTGTTAACATGTAACAAGGAAACTTGACATAGACAACTTAGTGAATTACTAGGCAATTGACATGCCATGAAGAACAGAAATTGGGCTAGAACTCAGAATAATCCTGAGCCCCCCTGCTCCCAAAGAATAGAAAATCCCTCTGTCATTCCAAACTCACAAGAAAGAGTACCCCATATCTCCCATTTCATCCCTACATGAATCCTTTGAGAACAGGCAGCGCGACAGACAGTGCTAGGACAGGATATAGTGTGGAACAAAAGAAATACAGCTCTTGCTGTCACGGATCCTCGATTCTAGTAAAGACCAACTAACCAAATAGCTAATTAGATAAGCATACACCACCTCTAGAACCCTGAAGGATGGTTTAGATGGGGTCATTAGGGAATGCCAGTCCATGAAGTTGATAGTTAGGCTAAGACTTTGTGCAGATGAAAAGCATGAGCAAAGAGGCAGATACAGGGAAGACCTTGGGACTCAGAAGGAGTGGAGAAATTAATAGAAAACTAGAATAAAGAATGTTATTTAATGTTACTAATCCTGAGTGAGGCTAAGAATGAAGTAAGTTGGAAAATAAAAATAGGCCAAATCATGCAGGGCTTTGAGCCGTAGAGAAGGCTGCCAAACTCATCCAAAGGAATTGACCTTAGACAATTGTAGTAGCTGGTAGAGTAGTCTCTATGTAAGGCTGTTGTTGTTTCTAATGTTGGAGCTGAAATTCACAGGGCAGGTAATTGGGAAGGGAAGGGAAGCGTAGA